AAAAAAAAAAAAAAAGACAGCTTGAGTCTTTGCAACTCACACAGGCTACCACAGGAGGTGCCATTTAAGTATGTGGCTTCTTGTATTTTGGTGAAATCATTTTATATCAGTACATGAACTAATGCTGTGGACTTCGGTCAAAAACCCCAGGTTATTAATTCTACCACTGTTTCCACTGACTGACCTGTAGTAGTCCTCCTGACCAGGCAGGGGTCCTCCGTGCATGTGATGGTGACCGTGGAGCCACTGCTGCTCCATGGCCAACCTCTGCAGCTCAGCTGACTGTGCGTGCATGGCCTGCAGCTGGTGGGCTGCAGACATGGGCGGCGGCAAACCTCCTTGTAGTTCGCGTGGGTAAGGAGCACCTGGAGGAGGCGCAGAGGAAAACTCTGATTGTTGAATCTGGCCATGATGGTTTTTAGACTTAGTTCATGTTGTTAACAAAAATCTAGGTCAACTCACCGAAGACCGGGTGACGCAGCATCTCGTGTTCGTGTGGCGGTTGGCCGAGGAGCGGGTTGGGGATGGCGCCGTGCGGGTACGGGAAGCGAGCCAGGTGAGGTCCAGCTGCCAGAGGGTCTACGGCCAGGGGGTGGGCCCCGGAACCTGACGGACACACAAGACATTCACCACCACCTTCTGGGTGTCAGAGTCTTAGGGTCAAGGTGCACTCATCACAACAGGCAGTGCATGCTACAGTTACACAGGTTATAATGACATGTTACTGATGACCTACAGCCAACAGTCAACTGATAACACACAGCATGATTAATGACACGTGTCTAAGGCTAGGGGTCGCTAATAACACTGGTTTGATCTGGTAATATTTTAATTCTGTCAAACAATAATATTCTTGCAAAATGGCTCCACATTTATTATACATTAATAATAAAATATTCAAAAATAAATATTATATAAATAAACAATTTTCTGGCCCTGAGTTTTGTTTATCTAAAAGGTAATCTAGCAGTTCATTAACTATTACTAATTATTATTAATTATTAGTCTGAGTGACGTGAAAGCAGTTTTCTGTCGTTTTATCGGTAGATGAAAAAACAGTTATAAACTCTAACAACAAAGTTTCTCAGTGTAACATGAACAATACATTGTAACACAACATAATTCTCAGTAAAAAACAGTCAAATGAAACATTGACTCCAATAATAAAATTAATATTTAGCTGTTCAAGTTAACACAAGGACAAATATAAAGGTTCATTTATACTATTTGCAATTATTTCATCAGTGTTCAACCAAAAATAGGATTTTTCCAAAATTATTATTATTATTTTTATTATTATTATTATTATTATTATTATTATTATTATTATTATTATTAACAACAAAGTCATCAGCAGAGACACATCATTTCATTGTATCAAACAGGGCTTTCGTTTACCTTGGTGCAGAGGGTCTTGCTGGTGCAGGTGTAGATGGGAGTGGATGTGCGAGTGCTGGTGATGGTGTGGCGTAACGTTGAACATCTGCAGACGGGCGATGGGGTCGTTGGCCACCGTGGCCATCCTCTCGGCGTGAAGTCTCTCCGCGGCCAGTCTCTCCGGGTAGCTCATGTCAGGCCGCAGCTGTGGCCCCGCGAGGGCCAGCCGCTCACGGTCTAACGGGTGGAAGGACGCAAATGGGTGGGGGCCGGCCATGGGGGGCAACGTGATGGCCCCGTGCCGGGCAAAGTGCTCCATGGGGTTTGTGGAAGGGTGGAGTGTGTCCATTTCAGGAGGCTTAACCTCAAAACCTGGCTTCATTCTTTCCCTCAGCTCACGCTCACGAATCTCTCTCTCCCGCATCTCACGCTCCCGCAGCTCGCGTTCCCGCATGCCAGGGTCGGCGTTATACAAACCGGGCATGTGATAGGCCAGCAGCGGGTCAGCAGGGTTGAGGGACATAAAGAAGGGGTGGTTTCGATTGGTGGGGGACATGACGTGTGGCCGAGCGTACTCGCTGAGGGTGCGCAGGGCAGGGGTGTCGGGGCCGATGTAAGGAGGCACAGCTGCAATTGTAGTGGGGGGGCCGTCGAAGGGCGGGCGCATATGGGCGGGGCCTGCCATCTGAGGTTCACCCATTCTGCCGTCGTGGGAAGAACTGGAGGCTTTCTGTGGTGAGAGAAATAAGAGAAAACATTTAGACTGAAGAAAACAAGGCTGCCGTACGGACATGTAACCAAGACGAGATCTCTCACCGCAGCTCGCTCCACTTCCTTTTCTCTCTCCCGCTCTCGTTCTCTCTCTTTTTCCCTCTCCCTCTCTCTTTCCTTTTCTTCCCTGGCTTTCTGTTCTGCTTCCCTCTTGGCTTTCTCCAGAGCTTCCTCTCGCTTTTTGGCCAGTTTGGACGACGCCAGAGGAGTGAAGTAGAAGTCTGTCCTAGCACAGGAGTTGTACCCTCTGTCCAGGTGCTTGTAGAACCTGCAGGAGAAAATATACAATTATTAACTAATGTAAAGTCTTCTCACAGTGCAGAAAACATCCATTATACACTAATAACAAGAAAACATAATATATCCTCAATATATCTAGTGTTTTATCAAAAAAGAATGAAACGAGATTATACTGAAGATTAAACCAAAACACTGGCTGATAGAGTGGGTGAGTGGAAGGGGCAGAGCAGTGAATTTTGCACCACTGAGAGTTTTATAAAGGAAAAAGCACTCCCCTACAGCTTTACTCTGACTAAACATTAAGTGGGAGCTACAGAGAATGAGCTTCAAAGTAACAAAAACACTTGTTTGAAGCCGGAAAGAACTCACAAACCAAACAACCAGAGCTAATTTAAAATCCTTCTACGAACAAAGACACGGCAGTGAATAACAACTCTAAATCCACTGCAACAACAGGTTTCATGTCTGAGGACAAGTCAGGGTGTAATCTTAGAGCAGCACTGAGCAGCGCAGCCCTGTGGAGCTGCACTCAGGACAACCGCACTTTCATCAAACTGTTAACAGCTGAAGTGTCGATGATTTGAAATGAAGTTTTTCTATTTTATTTAATTATATTTTCTACTTTAAAACAGGTTTTCACTAAGAGACTGCATTCACTTAAATTACTAATCAGTAGCTCACGATGTTAGCATCTGCGCCTCCCTGTTTCCAAAGGTCTATTATTCACAAAGAACAAACTCTCTTGTCTTTGACCTTTGCTTCCAGTGTGGGAACGTATTCAAATCCTCATTTCTATTCATTGGCCGACTGAGAACCACTCAGCTCAGAGCATCTAAAGACACTCTGATGATATTCAGACACCACGGTGCACTGTAATTGTCTCACTGCTCTCCATCTTTGAAAATTCTTTCCCATCAGCCACTTGGGGCTCAAAGGTAATTGTGACCTTGGATGTGTGTTTATGAGGACATTTGATTTACTTTCTACATCAAAGCTGTAAAGGCTGAAGACAAGGAGTCTTTTATTGTGGTTGTGTGTTTGAAGCTCATCGGTGAGCGGCTCTGAAGACAACTAACAGAACAGAGCTGGGCAGACGTACCGTGCTGACTGGCTGGCATGGCTGGGCGTGTTGACCACCGTAGGCTCCGGTGATGGGCTTCTCTGCGGGGGCGGGGGACTCTCCGGCTCTTCCGCCTCATCCAATGGCTCTTCTTTGATGTGTACTGGCGGAAGTGCTGGGCCCGGGCCGGCACACGAGACTGAGGCAGGGAGTGGCATGGAGATGGAGGATGACGAAGCAGAGGAAGGTGGAGGTGGTAGTCCAGGCATAGAGTTTGAGGACGATGAGGGGGGGCCGGTTGGAGGTAGAACTGCACTGAAAGAATGGGATGAGAACGGCGGCTGCGATGGTCCACCGGGATGGGAGGCTGCTGCTGCTGCTGCTGCTGCTGCTGCGGAGGGAGGCAGAGGAGGAGCAGGAGGAGGCTGGTGGCTGGCTGAGGGTGGGAGGGTCTGTGACTGGGTGAGAACTGGGGGCTGGGATGGCGGAGGCTGAAGCTGCTGCCCCTGTGGCATGAGCTGAAGAGGTGGCGGGTGCGCCGACGGAGGGTGGTGGGTGGATAAAGAGCTGAGGGGCTTGAGGGCAGGAGGCGGAGGCAGGTTTGAAGGCATCTGAGGAAATGGAGGTGCCGATACGTGGGGCGGGTGTTTGTGGGACTGTGGGTTGGATAACTGTTGGATGGGTGTGGTCGGTGGAGGCTTGATATGAGGCATGGAGAGCGGAGCAGGGGGTAGAGGCTGTTCCCTGGGAGGTTGACCTCCGCTCTGAGCTGACGGCTGGGGCTGGGACGGAGGTGTGTGTGACCTGGGCTGTGATTGGCCAGGGACTGGCAATGGTGGGACCTGAGACTGACCCACAGGAAAGCCCTGAGGGGGCATGGAGTGAGGATGGGGCATGTGTGATGGGCCAGGCTGCAAGGGGTGAGGCATGGGAGGCATCGGCCCATGATGCGAACTGGGTATTGACGTAGGAGGGAGTGGGAGTCCAGGGGGCGGAGCCTGGCTCAAAGGTGAATGAGGAGATGGAAGCCTTTGAGGGTGAAGGGACGCTCCTGACTGGATGAGGGACATCGGAGTCGCCTGGGGCAGAGGCTGGGGAGGTAGAGAGGTGGAGGCCACTGTGGGGGAAACCTGCGGGGGCAGTGAAGGTGCTGAGGTCGTAGGTGGTGGAGGAGGTCCCGAGGAGGCTGCTGAGGTGCCAGGTTGACACTGGATGACAGGAGGGTGTTGGCTCTGCAGCAGCTGCTGCTGCTGGGCAGAGGAGTCTGAGTCGCTCTCATTGTCTCTGGGGCTGGGGATACTGGGGGAGGAGCTCCTGTTGTCCTGGTCAATGTCCTTAGGATCGCTACTGAGCTCCTCGTTAATGCTACGCCCATCGGAGCTCTCGCCTTCTCCCTCACCTTCACCGTCACACTCTGAGGGCGAGTCGGGTCGACTAAGCTCCTGGGAATTAAAAGAGAAGAGAATGTTGTGAGCTTCATGACCCAGAACCTTCAAAATGTTTTAGTTCAATCAAATTCCAGTGGACAAACAAACAGTCAGTCAGAAATAGACTCACTTGTGTTTTGGACTTTTTGGCACTGGCCCTCTCGGAATCTTCCGTGTCAGACGCTCCCTTTTCTCGCTGCCGTTTGGCACTTTTCATGGGTGAAGGAGCCTCTTCTTTAATCTTCTGCAAAAGCAAAGCAGCAAAACCATTAGTGCCGTCACTTTGTCAGGGAGGATGGTTTTATGACAACGTCTACTTTTCACTGACAGAACATCGGCCGTTTCTACCTTGTTTGGCTTCTTCATGGAGTCCGTCTTGCTGTCTGTGCTGTCAGTACTCGCTGCACTGGGTGAAGTTCGTCCACTGGAGCGCAAATCCTCGTTGGTAGGCGAGGCTCTTCCATCCGGACTGGCTGTTTGCTTCTTACGACCACTTCGTAATGTTGACATCTATACACAGACAAAACATAAAGAAATGTTTTAAGGTCGGAAATGTCCACAGGTGCCGTAAATTCAGTACATTTTAAGTCATATTTTAAGAACAATAAAGAGTGAATGATTCAATGTGACTCCTGCTATTTTAGACGGATTTCTATAAAACTATTAGAAAACAGAGTTAATGGTGTGAGTAAACTATGGGTTTGTTTTAAAAAGACGAGACATTGAGATACCTCCGAAAAATAAAACCATGTCCACGAGCCAGAATTTGGACATGATTATAACAAAACAAGACCTATGAACTGTCCCAACACCAAAGGCAGGACAGAGACTAGAGAACATCGTGACAATACTACGAATCTTGCCTAAAAAAACTTGGCGTTGTACAATGACTCTGTAGTACGCCAGCAAAGTGTCTGGAGGCGAAAATGGAGAAAGACAGGAAGGAGGGATAGAGTCCTCACCGAGCCGCGGTTCCGTCGGGTCCTCATGCTATGCTTCCCGCTGAGTCCATCCTCTTCCTCTTTGACAGGTTTGAACATAAATGGCGGCGGGTCCACAGGCTTCTCGATGGGGGGCAGGTCTCCGTACTTCTTGAAGTGAATGCGACAGTCTGTGCACAGCAAGATGTTCTCTCTGCCCCCGTGGTGCCAGTCCTTGGAGGCTGGGGAAAAGCCATTTAGAGTTGTGAGATAAAACACTCTCTCACACGTGGTGATGAGTGCAAACAGCAGACGAGTCATCCTTCTCACACACACACACACACACAGTGGTTCTCACCTAATATGGACACAGCCTTGACCAACTTTTTACTTTCAACTGGTTTTTTCTCATTAATCTACCACTTAATAGCCACGATAAAAACATACACAGTGTCTTCCTAACGACACACTCTGTTTCCATTTTGTAATGTACTAAAAGGGTTTACACTACAAAGACAGAGTTATTGCAGTAACTTAAGTGTGATCAGATGGTAGTGTGGCAGAGGGAGCCAGCTGTGTGAGCAAGGAGAGAGGGATAATGATGTGGAGAGAGTGACTGAGCTCTGGGCTCAAGTCCAATTTGATCAAATGAGTCCTGACATATTCTCATGCCAGTCTGTCACAGTACAGTACTGTATTGTGCAGTGTTGACACTGAACCCAATCAGGGCAGGAATAACTGAAGGAGTCTGTGACAACCACTGTGAGCATCTGTAAAAGCAGCAGCGCGTCTTACTGGTGGTGAAGCAGTGGCGGCAGGCGTAGCCCTTCAGCTCCTGTTCGCTGTCTTCGCTGTCAAAGTCATCTTCGCTGGCTGAGCTGAGGTCCACTGGAAAAGAGACAGAGAACTTGGTAAACATCGCTGCCGAGGGCAGATCACGTCAGGTGATGTCACCTCAGCTGCCACTCAGCGGGTCGCGTTCGCTCTACGTACAAAATTCGCTGGAGGGTGGCCGCGAGGGAGTGTTGACGGGGGTCGAAGCAGTTCGTGTCTTAATGCGGCGGAAGACAGGTTGGCGACGGTGTCTACGGTGGGCTCGACAACTGGCTGCTTCTGGAGTCTTCTTCCAATAGTAGTAGAAGGTGATGAGTTCTCCCTGGAAGAACACGCAGAACAAATGTTCGTTAATGCAACTGTTCAGTCAACAACACACGTGACAGCAGCTCCACGAAGACATGGTCACCACCACCAGCTTCACTTTGGTAGTGGTGGCCATGATGCCAGATAGAAAAACAATACTGATGCTGATCTACTGGGATTATGCCACAGAGCCATCTACAGGGCTTAGAGGGAATAGCCCATTAAAAAAGTATCCAATGAGAAGCAGTTCTCTGCTTACGTGGTTGTTGCCAGAGGTTACAGAACGGCCAGAACAGTTCTTTAAAAATGAAGAACACCATTACCAAAATGAAGCCGACTTCAGCAGCCGACTAGTTCAGCATTGTAGCCTTATAAGGTGAGAACCTCAGACATGGTTGACTGATTAACAGTGCCTCGCCCAGAATGTTGAGACACTTTAATGCCCTTAGTATTTAACTGTAACAGGCAGACTATCATTGTTAACATTACTTGGCTGCTAAAGTTATCCAGGCTATAATGGTTTGTTACAAAAAAAAATTGCATAGAGCCGTTTGATATCAGGACATGCTGGTGAAGAAATTTCAATAGCACACTTAGTTACAAGATTAACAACATGTAAAAAAAAACTGAATTGGCTGCTGACAAATATCTACAATAAGGCCTGACCACTGAAAATAGACTCCCAGAGTGCAACAGCACGGAGCAGGGTTTTAGTCCATGCCAGGATTTGTCGTCTGCTGGCCATGTTTGTGCTGCGGCCCTGTCTGCCCCAGGATTAGACCAGGAGGCTGGCTGAAAGCAGGGGTATTAGGATCAGTGCATTGGTGGCTGCCTGGGTGGCAGGAGCTTGAATGGGAACAAAAGGAAGTGTCAGGCAGAGCTTTGGTGCTACAAATAGGGAGTGAAATGGTTCCTCGCCCCTTCACTGGAAGAGTCAATTGAACTTTAATCAAACATTCGGAGAGCGGTGCTCGTCGCCGAGGCGGGCGGATAAATCCGGTGTGTACAAAAGGGAGCCAGGAAATCAATACCAAACTGAAACATTAACACATGCAATCAGGGAATCAGAAAGCGCTCTGCTCAGGCAGACTGTGCATAATGACCGCTGCTCTCTGCGCTCAGTCATAATGGTGCTGCTGACAGGAGTCGGAGACAATCATCGACATTCTTTCGCCCCTTTGCCCTTTTGCACTCCAACTGCCGCCGACTCCCGTTTGTTACGGCGTCTTTCTTGCTAACTCTGTAACAAATTTGTGAAGATGTGACTGTGTGACAAACACTAAGTCACCTGTAATCTTTAAAGCCCAGAGGGCGCACATCTACTGCCTGAGGTCGGTTAAATTGCTGTTCAACAAAGCTCCCAGGCATTAATGTCTATTGATCCTTTTCCTGCTGCACCACAACAGAGAAACTTGACACAGATTAGTTCAAGTGCTGCTCCCTACGACACATTTACAGCTTTTCCGTAATCCTCCGTCAAACTGTACCAAAGTAAACAAAACGTGAGGAGAATTCACTGGTGTAATTTCACGTCGGGTCATAAAATGTGTTGCGGGTGGTAAACCAAGTGTAACAGTGCGTCACGGATGGAATGTAAAGGCAACCATTTAAATTCTTAACTCATGATAAATAAAATCCATTCACGGCAAACCTACCAGGAACTGTCCTGTATTTTGTGTCTTTAGTTCAAGTAAAGTTTGAGGTTATAATATACGTGAAAGAGCGAGTTATGTTTTTATTAACCGCTGTACTATTTGGCAGTAAATACTTGGGCTCAGTGGGTCGAGGCCTGTGTAATAACAGTTTCCTTCAAGTGGTTTAAAGAGGAACTTCATGCTGTACAGTATAAATAGTAGCAGAGCCTGTTGGACTGTGTCATATCAGGGAACGCTGCTGGAGGAACATTTAACAAGCGTGTCCCTGCTCAATGAAGCCCGCTCAAATTTTGGGGTAAATGGACGTTCCAGACTGTGTTATGGGACAGCCAGTGGTACAGTAGTAAATCTGCTCCATGACTTACAGCATGTCTGAAGTTTTGCCAGATGTTAACAAAGGAGGAGTAAATATTTTTATAAAAAAAGAAAACAACCCAGATGATGTGTTAGATATATATATATATATATGTATTAATATTCACTATTTGTTATCTATAACATATATATATAATGACAAGTCTTAACTGTGTGCAAACATTGACGTGTTACTTGTAAGTATGATTTGTGTCATATTTCAATGACCTCCTGTAAACATTTGCTCTCACAGCGAGGACGGAGCAGCTAATGACCGTTAAGACAATATCACCATGTGTTTGTTCATCATTTCAGGCTTCAGCAGAACTTCCTGTTCCGTTCTAAGAATACCTCCCTCTGCTGTCTGCTTGGCCGGTTGGGGAGGCAGGATGCAGGTGCTAACTGAGGGAAGGCAGGCGTCCTGAGGTGAAATCTAATTGAAATGTGCAGATCAAAAGTGTGGAGTGGTGTCGGGCGCAGGCTTCGCTCGGTGCCTAATGACTGCTCTCAGCAGCCGCCTCGCTGCAGGCTGACGACTGCATGGCCTCAACAACAGCCCGGCAGACAAAGTGAAAGGTCAACGTGTCTCTCCATCACTTACGCTGTGTCAAGTACCATTGTGTCAGACTGGGGCCAATGAAAACATTATGACAGAGTGTTTGAATGGTAATTAACAGGTGCACAGATGAGATGGTACAGCTGGATGCAAATGTGTTAGAGTGAAGTGGCATCTGTACAACTTTAGTGTAGCTCCTTTTTTTTTTAGCTTGGAGTTTTATTTTCGGCCAGAATAAAGGCTCTAAGGTTTGTTACACAGCAGTGACAGTAACACTGTAACACGGTGAACAGGTTCCATGCAGAGGCTGGTCTGTAACATTAGACCACACTGTATCGTCCACATGCAGACCTGAATCGTGCCCTGACACAACTGCCCTGGATCTCTGATTTTACAGTTCAAATGCCACAGTGATTAGAGCGTGCTCCCTTGAACGTTAGCTTTCACAGGCTAAAAAAAAGACATGTTTATATTGAACCAAGGATAAAGGTGGTGAAGAGAAGCAAAAAAGAAAGGACTCACTCAGGTGTAAAGAAATGATAGGATAAATCTGAGCTCTAGATGAATCTGTGTTGACAAACTCTAATTGATTTAGTCCTTAGAGCTCATGGCCAAAAATCACACAAACACTCCTGACTGCCAATGAAAACGATGGAACAGCCGAGAGTGTAAAAATGGAAAGAAGTGAAGAATCTGTGAAGTGTGGATGAAGATGGACATGGAAATTCCTGCGGTTGAGAAACACTTAGAAGGACTGAAAGACTGGAGTGGCTGGATGACAAACATGGTCTTTCCAAAGCGTCAAAGTGTCTAGCCAGTCTTTCACAATGACTGTTGACTTTTCTTCATCAATGTCATCATAAGCCCATAAGACACTCTTCTGTGACAGAGGGCACAGTTGGTCACATTCTACAAATCTGTATCTGAAAACAGGTTAACCTACAATAAAAAAAAAAAATCAAGGAAATACTGGAGACAGAAATGTACATTGTCCCAGACCTGCACACCATCATTTTCCCAGTCCAGTAAATCACTGCAGAGCTTGGTGTGGTGCCGCTCAGTGGAACATGAGATAGTGACAACATAAGCTCACTATTATAAGGCCTTTTAGACTGCTTCCATCTGCAGGAGCTTTCTGGACGGCGGATTATCTGGCAAGGAAAGAGCTTACTCTCCTATCACGACACTCATAGGCTTTCGCTGCATTTATGACTCCTGAAATTGCATGTCTATAAACAAGTGTGTATGTGTGAAATGGTTTGAGAGTTTGGAATTACTTAAAGCGTTTCCTTTATAGCTGTAATTACTGCACAGACATTCATCTGGATGGGATGGTAGTTATATTTTTATTTAGCTTCCGTCTTATAAACTATTTTATCTTCCTGGCTCCAGAACTGAGGTTATATTAAAAACAAATGACAGATCAACGGCCCGGGGTGTAATATCTGGTGGGAGAGTGGGATCCTGTGCTGTGCTCGGTGGTCCTGTGTGCACGGGCAGGGCTGAAGGCAAAGGCTAAACTCATGTATTTACACTCACATCCCCTCTCAGGCCCAGGCCAGAACAGATGGTTTCTGTTTTTCCTGGCAGATTTGTGACAGAGCCACAAAAGGCCCCTGCTTTGACATGAAGCCAAACGGTTAAGGCCGTTGCTGGCAAAAGGAAGAGGAGGAGGAGGAAGAGGAGGAGGAGGAAGAGAGAACGGGGAAAAGCTAAGGAGGGGGGAAAAGAGGGACAGAGAAAGGGAGGGCTGAGTGTGGAGGAGAAACGAGAGGGAAAAAAAAGAGCTAGCAGAGGATAACAATGGACAATCAACATTTAATTCAACCACAGCCTCCACTCGAAGAAATGTCTCCTGACAAACAGACATTTCAGCTGAAAAACATACACGTTACTTCAGCTATCACTGTGTGTGGGTGTGTGTGGGTGTGTGTGAGATCTAGGCCCTGGTGACCGATTGTCAAATTGTGTAAACATCCATTAGTGCAGCGTGAACCTGTGCCTCTCCTGCACAGCCCAAAGTCGGACATGGCTTCCTGACTCGTCTCAGCCAATGAAGGAGAATGTGTTTCTCTGAACTAAAATCAAACTGCCGTTTCATTCTGCCTGTGCCCGACCCCTGGACCGGGTCCTCTTCATGGTCCGTGACAGGTTGTATAGTGTGTGGTTTCAGTGAGTGGTGCTTGACTTTTCTATCATCCTTGTCGGGGCTGTAACTGTAGGAGGTGGTGCTGTAAATGTTTATGGGGCTAGAGCGGAGTGGGAGAATACCTGTGATGTCTGAAGGGCTGTTTCATGTGTGGCAGAGTGTAAAGAGCATTAGAACTCCTCTGGCACTAGTTTCACTTTAGTAGCTACAATATTTAATGGTTTAGCGCAAAGGAAATTCTGCAAAAATAATCCGTGGAAACATACCAAAGTAATTCCCTCCATTTTCAATGGACCAACACA